TCGCGCCCCGAAGCCAGTCGGAAGGGCTGGCAGGGCGTTTCGCTTGAGACTTCCTTACCCCTTATGATCCTGACGCTAAGAAATTAGCAACAGTTTCGAAGATGGAAGGGTGGTCTTCAAAATACTGTTCTCGCTTTAGCGCCGCGCACATCAATGTCAAACATTTGCAAGGGTTTCACGGATTGAAGGCGGGCCGTTTTCAAAAAGTGGGTCTCGCCTTGGCGCCGCGCACATCCGTGCTAAAACATTGCTAACTCCTCGCGGATTGAAAGTGGGTGGTTTTGAAAATGTGGACCTCGCCCTAACGCCGCGCTCATTCGTGATTGATATTTGTAAGAGGTGGTTCTTTCAAAATGTGGTTGATAGGGCGGCTCTTTTCAAAATGTGGTTCTTGCTTCTCGCGCCGCGCATTGTCGTTGTAAGATTTCATAGCAAGTTCAAATATTATCATGGTTAACGCCCCAGAAATGATGTTTGGCACGATGTCGGATTGTCAGGGCGCAACAGTTGCATTGATTCGTGAAGTCCAAGGAATGGCGTTGTGGCACGATGCAGGATCGTCAGGACGCAACAGCGACGGTGATTCGCGGCGTTCAAAGTCTCAGGACTGGCTTGCTGGCACAGTTCAGAATGCTCAAACGGTTGTCTTCCAGCGGGGCACTTCCTTCAGTGAAAATGAATCCTTGTATGGTGCCTGTGACGAGGGAGCTTGGAGGGAGGGTGTATTGCAATATCGTTGATACGCCTTGGGTTTATACTGGTCCTCCTCCCCCTCCTCCTACCCCGCTTCGGCCCTCGTCCGCACCGAGCCCAGCCATTCGACGATGTGGTTTGTTCAGCCCGCGGGCCCCACCAGTCACGACCCCTTCCCTGGGGGCAGCGTTTCGCCTCGCATCCGTTTCCGATTGTCCCGCGGCCAGAACACAGGCCCCAGGGGCCGAGATCGGGCAGAGAATTCGGAGAGAGAAACCTTCTGGTGGAGACCCAGGATCCTCCCTCTCCTCCCCGTGCTCTCTCTGCAAGGCTTTGCCTTCGGCGCGAACGATGATGTCACTGGCACCGGCGTCTGGGGCGGCCTCCGGGTGTGCCGCAGGGACGGCAAGGTCCGGCAGGAGCGGGCGGTGAGCGAAGTAGATTCAGGAGGGGAAGAAACACACAGACACAATGAATCGTCGATTCTCAGAAAATATGGGAAAACATGGGAAGTGGGGGGGGGAAGACAAAAACCCAGACAATATTGGAGAATACGGGGATTCCGGTGATTTGTGTGTATTTATTTGTGTGTCCCAGGGCCCCTTTCATGTGTGAAGTTCAGGGAGGGCCAAGCGAAGCCCGGAGCAGACGTACCCCTGGAGGCCTTGGAGGGGGTGCCCGAGGGGCCGACCCCGGCTCAGGTCGACCCAGCGCCGCGTTTGGGGAGCACACCGTGGCTGGGACCGTGGACCTTTCGACGCCTCGCTTGGGGTACGCTGCCCCGTGGGGACGCTCGGGCCCTCCCAGGTCGTGGGCAGCGTGGACGACGTGGCGGAGGAGGAGGAGGAGGAGCAAGAGGAGGGGCGCAGGGGGCAGGACGGGGCGAGTGGGGATCCAGGCTCGAGGTTCTTCGGTCGGAAGGTTTGGGATGTTGATCACCCTTTCTGGGAGCTCCTCGTGGCCACGGCTGGATTCGCCTCGAAACCTTATTCAGAACGCCGCACCTCTGCAAAGGTCCAGGGGTTGGGGGGGGAGGGGGGGCGAGGAAGCCAGAGACCTGACGGCTCCAACAGGGGCTCCAACAAGTCGGGACGGCAGCTCGTCACCATTCCAGGGCTCTGGGGCAGCCCTCGGGCCTGGGGGCCGTCAAGAACAGACCAGAGCTGGCCAACAGCTAGCCCCTGGGAAGGCGTCGAGAGGTCCAGAGGGCAAGTTGCGAAAGAAATCGATGCGCTGCATGTCTGAGAGGGGATTCTCTGATTGCGCTAACTGGGGGCTGCTCGAGGCTCGAGTTTCTTCAGTCAAGTGCGGTTCGGCCGTCTGCCAGAGGGTCACGAGATGAGTGAAGCTCCGGATGACATGCTGCCCTATCGGCGGCAGAGTGTTTTGTTGCCGGCGCAGAGGTCAATAGCAGAGAAGGCTGACATCCCACAGCAATGGTTGCCCCCAACTGCTGCAATCCACTGTCCAGCACTGTATGGGCAGCTGTTCAGAGCTGACGGAGCGACTGTCGCTTCGCGGTGGCAGGCCCTGGAGACAGGGACCGAGACAGCGGCAGCGGAAGAGGCTGCTTGTCAGCGGCGGCTTGGCTCCAAGACGCACGGGACAGACGAGGGACACATCGGAGCCGAATGACACGGTACAGTCGGGGCCATGAAGAAGGAACCCTTTTCGTTGGGGAGGGGCTCCGTATTCCTTAGTTGTTTTGCAGCTTGCCTCAGGTTTTCCCCAGGTGTTCCATGGAAAATCGGAGTTTAATGTATGGGAAAAAGGGGGCCTCGTTCCTTAGTTATCGTTCCTTAGGTCAACGCCCCGACTGTATGCTGGCCAGCTTGGGAGGTCGTGTTCGGCGAGGAGTGCGACAAGAAGTAGTTCTTCAGAGATGGCGCGTGGGCCAAGAGTTGCGGCTCTGTGTCTGTATAGTCGTTTGCCTCACCCGTTGCTTCTGCCCATCCCATGAGGAAAACAATGTTCGAGGCCATCTGGGAGGCCGATGACGGTGAGCTTGAGCAATTCCAGAACACAGGCTCGAGGATTCAGAACAAGAGCACAACACCACATGATTCTTGGAAAACACCAGGGTGAAACATCAGCCCTGGGGAGTGGATTCCAGACCATCACAAGGTAATGTGATATATTCCACCCCGCTACGTTTCGACCATACTTGGGCAATGCTGTTCGCCCCCTTTCGATTGGCGGCGCCGTAACATGCACATGAGAAGAACTATACATATAATTGTTGATCCACGTGCTCCGCCAGTAGAAACCACCCACCACGAAGCCAAGCATCTCGCAGGAGGCGAAGGCAGAATCTTTCTGAATGTTTGACGTAGTTGTTGGATTGACATGGCCCACAAAGTGTCTCGTTGGGCAGGTTTGGCCAACACATACGCGATATGCTCTTCGTGATGGTTGGTTACATTCTGGACCCGCGTTCATGCTGATGATGTGCCTGTCATAGCGTGACGCGGATTGTTTGCGAGGCAAGCAATCGCCAGATTGAGATGGCCTTTCAGTTGTAATAGAAGTTCTGGACTTGTTGCATATCCCCATTAGGCAGTCGAGAAACAAGTCCCAGGCGACATGGTGTGAGAATCAAAGTGGAGGGAAGTTGGTACACAACGGAAAGCACGGCCAACCGAGCCAAATGATGTGCCAACGCGATGTTGTTGCAATACAGCGTAGTTGTGCTAAATACGTGTCGCACAATTAATAGGTTATGAGCCAGCGTACTTTAGTGTGTGAGGCCACGCTAATGGTGGATGTAGCTTAACATACATGAGCTCAGCAAAGCTTAGCGGCCTGGGTGTAGCGCGACATAGGCGAGTTCAGCTTAGCTTAGCGTGACCTGGATCAGTTTGATAGTGCGTAAGTGAGTTGATCTTAGTTGAGCCGTGTTTGTTGCCTTGGCATGCTTTGAGTTGGCGCACGCAGCTTGTATCAGCATCGCATGACCTGGCTCCGCATAACTGGGCCCAGCCTGGCGAGCTGAATTCAGATTGTACCAGGTTGGCTGAGGCCCAGAACTAGCGCGACATCGGTTGGCTGAAGTGGGCCCCATACAGTGTTTGCTACATTCAGGAGGGGAAAACACACAGGCACAATTAATCGTCGACCCCCACGAAAATATGGGAACATATGGGAAGTGGGGGGAAGACAACAACCCAGAACATATGAGAAACTATGGGGAATCCTGTTATCTGTGTGGACTTGTTCGTGTGTCCCAGGGCCCCTTCGTACTCGGGGCCCCTGGTTCTTCACCCGAAGAACTGAACGGGTACGGCGGAGCTTCGCCACGCTGCGGGCCCTTGCCGCTCGCCTCGTGGGCGTCTCCTGGGCGCCCCGCGCGTGGGGGGGGGGGGTACGGCGGGGTCTCGCCGCGCTGCGGGCCCGTGCCGCTTCGGGTGGGTGCTTCGCTGGCTCCCCGTGCTCGGAGCTTCCACGACGTGCACTCTCCGCTCAAGAGAAAGGGGGGCAGGGGGGCCGCAGCGAAGCCCTCTCGGGGTCCTCCTGGGGCCATGTTGGGGGCACTGGGGCACTCTAGAGGCATCAGAGACTAAGCGGAAGCCCGAAACGATGGGGCTAAACTTAGTTTAACAAGCTAACGTTACATCGTCTTGGTGCCTGAGTGATCTGGGCGTCTGGGGTTCATCCTTGGGGTTCAGTGGTTACATACAAGAACATATTGGTGCCCTCGCGGCGTCATGCTGGAGGCAATCATGCGCCATCTCGGAGGCAATACTTGGCTGTCTACGACATCAGTTTAGCCGTGTTTCGTGCGATTGACCATCTAACACGTCGTAACCAGGGCATTCAGATTCCGAGGATGGAGCCGAAGGGGCAGAACGGGTTATTTCATGATGGCTGACATATTAAACAAAATACGTGCGCCCAGTGGGCAACCAGGATTTGTTCAAGTGCCTAGCTCACAGTTGTTGCACCACCACTGCGCAACGCTGCTTACACGTCCGATCCCAAAGTCTTTGAAGTACGCGATGGCCCCATGCCATATTTGACACCGTCCATTCCCAACCCATGTTTCCCCTCGTCTTCTCCCTCTCCGCTCAGTGCCCCACGCCCTGCAGAGGGAACGCCAGCGCAATTGCGCTCTCCGACCAGGAGGCTGCTTTCGAGCACCCGGCGCAACCGAGACGGCTACCCGGTACCGGGTACTTCGGCAGCGCGCAGGAGGCTTGCTGCACAGTGGCAGGAAGGCGCCACGCTCGCGCGGGCCAGTGGAGGAACATGGCAGGAAAGCGGCGCCTCTCTGCATCTGCCGAGATCCCCCGTGTACTGAGTACCACCAGGGTGGCGCCGGCGCAAGTTTTCAGGTGCTGGTCCCAGATCGGGACCGCTCCTCCTGTGGCCCTACCACCGCTGCAGCGGCCCAAGGCGCGGTGTCCCCGCATGGGCCCGCCAGGAGAGTGACAGGCCAGCGGCCCGAAGTGGGGGGGGGGTCGGCGGCGCAGACCGACGACGACGCCGTCGACGACGACGTGACCGCCCGGGAACCTCAAAGATGGCGACGTCGACGACGACGTCGCCTTTTTTGAGATGCCTTAGGCGCTTCTCGAGGTCCTCGCCGCCACGGTTCGATGCGGCTCGGAAGTTTGGCCAGAGGATGGACCTTGGGAGCGGTCCGGGGATCCGTTTCCGAACAGAGTTTGGCCAAGAATGTCCAGCCTTCCTAAAAGGCAGGGCATTGTGTGCAGTATTTGTTAGACGAGATGGGAGGCTCCTGAGAAGGCAGGAGCGCCCCTAGGAAGTCTACCGCCTCCTCAGAATGCCAGCCCCCGCGCGCCCCGCCCCCTTGAGCGCACCACCACGTTGCAGAAGCGCAGTGAAAACACAAAGCAGAAGCTTTTGGAGGACCGCGGCGCTGACCCCCCGCCCTTCCCGCATCCCTTCCCCGGCGCGCGGAGCGCGCTGGGTGCTGGGCGTGGTGGCGGGGGTTCAGCGCCGATGAAAGGAGTCCACTCCGACCCCCGAAAGTCTACATCTGCCCAGCGAAGGTGCCGCGTTAGTCCGCCACCGCGCTGGGGCCGGCGCCCGGGGAGATGAGCGAGAGGGGTGCGGTCGCCCGGGTGGGTAATTCCATGCCTTGGGGCCATCTCCCCAGACTTCTGATGAGGGCGCAAGTTTTTTCTTGAGGGGGGGGCGGGCGCGAGGCGTCCAGGGGGAGGCATACCGCACGACCCGAAGTATCGAGCAGGAGCCCTTGTCGTCGTGGCTGGGCCTCCGCCGCAGTGAATTGCGAGGAAGTCTCGAGCGAGAGCGCCGTTCCTGAGTTCGGGGGCCTCTCTGGCCAGGGTGTCTCGGGGTAAATTGTGAGGAAGTATCGAGCGGGAGCCGTTGTTGTCGCAGCTGGGCCTCCAAGGGCCCACATTTGGGCTCAAGCCAACGCTCGAGCGGGAGCTTCGTTTTCAAAGGAAATGACGCCATTTTTATTTTGTTCGCTCCTATATGTTCGCTGGCCATTCAACCAATCTATCACACACCCTGCGTATCCGCCGCCCTCGTCTTCGACCGTACCCCCTTGGGGGTGTACCTTCCTTACCTGCCAAGCGCATGTACTGCAGCCCTTAAAACAGGGGAAAAGAGAGGACGGATGAAAGGGGAAGGGAGAAAGACGGAGCACGAAGACAAGTAGGAGGAGGGGGGTTAGGAACAGAAAACACGTGGCAGAACCAGACGGGTAGATCGGGCGGGCAGACCCCAGCGGGTGGGTCAGGAAGGCAGGCCCAGGCGGCCATGTCGAGCAATGTTCTGAAAGACCCCCTTTGTGGTGTTGAATTGCGAAGAAGCTTCAAGCGAAAAGGCAGCCCCGGCATCCGCGAGCAGCAGCGACCTGATTCTGAAGGACCCAACTGTAGCGGTAAGTTGCGAGGGCGTCTCAAGCGAAACGGCCGTTCCGGCATCCGCAAGCAGCTGCAAGACTGCTCTGAAGAACCCTTTGGTTGTGTTATTTCGCAATGAAGTCTCAGGCGGGAGCGCCCTTCCTGAGGCGGAATAACATGTGAGTAAATATCACACGGGAGCGTCGTTGTTGGGGTGCCGGCTTGGCGGAACCCCGAAACGCTTGAACGTGAGCCTCAACGCACTTAGCTGCGAGGCGAGAGCACCAGAGCGCCTGTAGAGTGCTCAACAATAATAATTCTTCAGGAACGCACTCAACAGCGACAGCCATGTTACCTTCCTGCGCCATGCTTCGACATGCCACACGCACCCATCAAGACGCCACCCCGTTGCTGGGGGATTTGCACCAGCAGGGACGAGATTCCACACCCGGAGATCCCGCCCAGGGAGGACGAGCCGACACCTCTCCAGAGGCACATGCCCATCTCCAGCTCTCAGACGACGCATAAAAAAGCAGTGCAACTAATTATCTGGAGCGGTGAGGACTCAAGACACGAAGGGCTCGAGCCCCAGCAGAGGGGCAACACGCAGCAACATGTGCGGAACACTGCGGACCCGAGCCCCAGTCGAAGGGAATGCACAGGAGCAGCCGTGAGACACTCAGGATTCGACCCCAGTCGAAGGGCAAAGCACAGGAGCATGCGCAAAAACCAAGATGGAGCCGAGCCCCAGGAGAGGGGCAAACTCTAGGAGTCGACGCAAATCGCCAAGAGGACTTGAGCCCCAGGAGGAGGGGCGGCGAAGTCTGCGAGAGCGAAGCCCACGGGGGGCCGAAGCGAGCTCCCCGAACACGTATCCCAGTGCCTAGCAGTGTCTCCTCCTCCTCCTCCTCCTCCTCCTCCTCCTCCTCCTCCTCCTTTGGGGCCCCCTTGGGGCCTCCAGAGGGTGGGGGGGGTGGGGGGGGTGGGGGGGCAAAAACGCTTCCCGAACACTTAGTGCGTTTCAATACAGGAAGGCATCTCCTGGGGCCTCCTGCAGGCGGGGACGGCCGCAAGACGCTCCCCGAGCACGCAGCCCAATGCAGACAAGAGCATCCGGGGGCCTCCTGGGGGGGCGGGGAGGCAGACAAGCGCTCCCTGCACACAGACTTATCCCGATGCAGGAAAGCGCATCCTGGGGCCTCCTGCTTGGGGCCTCCGCAAGCAGCGGCAAGGCTGCCCTCATGGATTCTCTTGTGCTCATGGGCTTGTTTTCCACCACCACCACCACCATAAGTTGGAGGAGGAGGGGGTCCTCCTCCTCCTCCTCCTCCTCCTCCTCCTGCTCCTCCTCCTCCTCCTTCTCCCCTCCAACTTATGGTGGTGGTGGTGGAAAGCAGGCCTATCATGTGCTGCTGAATCGTGAGGAAGATGCCGCGACATGTGGGCTGACCAGTTTTTCTTCTGGCAGTTTCGACCTGGAAACGGTTTCTGCGTCATACTGTCGGCCCAGTTGTTTCATTTGCGCAGGTTCGGCGGATCGCGTGGTTTGGTGGTTTGGTCCAGCGTAACAGTAGACGGATATTGGAAAGGAGTGACAAGGAGGGCGGATGGGCAGGAGCGATGAGGGGGAAAGAAGGAGGAAGGATCGATTTGGAAGGAGGGGAGAGGGGAGGAGGGAGGGATCAGGAAGGAGGGAGGATGTAGACAGGTTAGACCCGATGCACGACATGGCGGGCGTCGTCGCGCACGCGGCATTACATCTCTGGAGCGTCTCCGAAACGTGTCCGAAATATTTCTGGGGGGCGAAGACATTTACACAACATCTACGAAACTGTACGAAATATGTCCGGGGGGCGAAATATGTACATACCATGTACCTCACATCTACGAAACATCTCGGGGGGCAAAACATTTACGTAACATCTGCGAAACATTTCCGAGGCATCTCCGACGCACTTCTGCGGAGTCGAAAACGATGCGGTCTCGTCGACCGAAACCGCGTTCGCGCGAACCCGCTTCCGCTCACAGAGCGAATCTCGCCTGAAATGTTGTAAACTACCCTGCAAAACCAAGGTGGTCACGCGAGCTCCACTCCGCTCGTGAGCCGAACCTCGCACGATAACATGTACGAACATTTCCAGCACAGCTCCGAAACACCTCCCAGGGCCGAAAACATCTACGTCACATCAACAGCTTCGAAACATCTCTGGGGGGACGAACACATCTACAACAACATCCACGAAACATATCTGGGTGGACAAAAGATGTACATAGCATGTACGATACATCTTCGAAACATTTCTGGTGGGCGAGCACATTTACAAACCATCTACGAGTCATCTACGAAGCATCTCTGGAGGGGGCGAACACATCTACAGAACATCAACGAAACAGCTGCGACACATGTCCGACCCATTTCCTGGAATAATTCACGTTGCATGGGCACGTCGCCGCGGCCGGATTCGCAAACGTCGCCAGAGGTCGATGTCGGAGGTCCGTTTTCGACGGCGTTGAGGTCGTGGTTGTTTTTTGTTGGAGCAGGTTGGCGTCGCGGGCATCGCAACGCAGGCCGCTGCGTTGGGCGATTCTCCTTGAAGTGGCTGAACGCAGCGTTCAAAGCAAAGCGCAACTCCAAATTTGCGTCATGCCGGGCACAGTGCCCCGCAGTGCGCCCGGGCGTCGGGCAGGGCCCCCGTGAGCTGTTTCGGAGGCGGTCGTTTCGATTATTCTTAGGCTTACGCCACACCGCCGACCCCTTGTTTATGCCAATCTGGGGGTAGTAGAAGCCGCGAAGGGGTGAAAAGCGAGTTTTGGAGCCACTTGGGGGCCGTTTCGGAGCCTCTGGGGTGCTTCTTGGGGGTTCCTTGGGGCGTCTGGGCGGCCTCGTGAGGGCCTCTGGGGGCCTCTTGGGGCACTCTTGGGGCCCCCTGGGGCTCCTGGGGGCAGAAAGCTAGAGTTTCAACATGTTTGGTCGCCCTCTTGGGCCCCTCTTGGTGCCGTCTTGGAGCCCTCTTGGGCCGTCTTGGGGACCTCTTGGGCCGTGTTGGGGCCGTCTTGGGCCGTCTGGAGGCCGTCTTGGGGGCCTCTTGGGCCATCTTGGGGCTTTCTTGGGGGCCTCTTTGGCCGTCTTGGAGCGTCGGGAAGCCGAAAAGGCGGAAAAGCAAAAAACATAGAAAAACACTATGGAAAATCAACAATTTTAGACTCTTGGGGTCCTCTTGGGAGGCTTGTTTGGGACCTCGGGGGCCGTCTTGGAGACCTCTTGGCCCGTCTTGGGGCCATCTTGGGCGTCTTGGAGCGGTCGTTTGGCGTCTCGGGGCCTTCGTGGGCCGTCTTGGAGGCCTCTTGGGGGCTTCTTGGCCCGTCTTGAGGCCCTCTTGGGCCCGGAAAAGCCCCGTGAACCGCTCGTCCCGGCCGTGCTGCGCTCGTCCCGGCCGTGCTGCGCTCGTCCCGGACCCCCCCCCCCCCCTCCAAATCGACCGGACCGGGCTCCCGGGGGAGGGGTTTGGGGAGGGGGAAGCATCTCACACGCCGATGATCCCCAAGGGGTCGGAGGCGGTCGTTTCGATTATTCTTTGGACAGCCCTCCCCAGGCTACAAGTCTCGGCAAATAAAACTTGCACCCCTACGGTGGCACGCGTCGTGGCGGGCGTCCCCGATGGTGAAACGATTCTTTCCATGTTGCTCTTCGTCCGCTCGATATCCCCCTTGCCAGAGTCAGTGGGATCGGTGGATGCCGTCGCAGCGCCGATGCGCCGGCGATGCGGCTCGATGCGCAGCCCGATATCCTCCACGCGGACGTCACCACTGCACCGCAGGCGTCGCCCACGCATCGGCGACGCCTCGGCGAGTCGGTGCCGTCCTCCGACCCGACCCGACCGGACCCCGTCTCAGGAGGCCTCGGCAAAGTCCGCCGCGCGGTCTGCGGTGCCCCCCTTCCTTCCCCGTCTTCGGGCCGCCGGGCAGACCCGCGCCCCCCCCCCGGGCCAGCCAGCCGCGGGAGGCCGCAGGGGGCGGGGCTCTTGACATCCTGCCGCCAGGGGCTGCCAGGGGTGCTCCTGGCCCTGGCCCGCCAAGCCAGAAGGAGAGGAGGAGGAGGAGGCGGAGGAGGAGGAAAAAGAGAAGGAGGAGGAGGAAAAAGAGGAGGAGGAGGAGGAGGAGGAGGAGGAGGAGGACGAGGAAGAGGAGGGAGGAGGTTCTTTGCCCAAGCAAGCCCGAGATGCAAACCCAAGATGCACCACGATGCCCACTCGCGCAGCCCCCCGGGCCGCGAGGCGGCGGAGGTTTCCGAAATTCGGGGCCTTCGGAGGCCAGTTGCGGGCCCCTGGGCCGTCCAGAAGTTGTAGCGGAGGCCCATGCCAAGAAGCACCCTGCTCGCCTCCAGGGTGCCCTGGGTTTCTTGGGTTTCGATGGTTTTGCTATTGAAAGCGTGACGTTCCCACACCAAAAGTCAATGGACGCCGTGGGATCTCAGGGTTGGGCTTTTTGTGGAAGGTTTCTTGTGGTCGGGCCCCTACTGTACCATGGAGCGAAGAAAACGCCCTGGGGAAGGGGTCGAGAGGTTTGTTCGGCAGACCCTGTCCCAAACAATCGAGAAGCCCGATGTCTGGGCGAGGCGTATCCGGCTTTTCGCGTCATTCGGAGCCGGCCCTCTGGGGATGGTGAGGGGTGTTCTGGAAGCCGTGGGGACCTCACATGCAATCCTGCGGACACCTTGGGCAGGGTCAATTTCGATCCGATCGATCCCATCCGAGATCGGTTCCAGACGTCCTGATCCGATTCGATACCGATATGTCGACGATCCGATGTGGCCTGATTTTTCGTGGCGTTGTTGTGCGTCCTGGCGCGACCGATCTCATTCGATTTCGACTCCACACCGATGCGGCCCGACCCGACGCACATCTCAATCCGGTCCGAGTTCCTGATTCGATGCCGACTGATTCGATGCCTCGGATATCTTGAATCGGCGCTGGGGTCCCTGGCGCTGGGGCGGCGCCGATGGCTCCGCCAGGGGGCCTCTGGTGCCGATCCGAGAGCTCCACGCGGACCTCGGCGAGTCGATGCTTCGCAGGCTCCTCTTCCTCTCCACGGCGCCTGCCCCGGGCAAGGGGCACTCTTGGCAGCGCCCAGCCCAGCCGGGCTGGGGGCGCGCGCGCCGGCCGCCGCCGACCGCGGAGAGGGGGGGCGTCGATCGGCACGGCGGCGGCGCGCAGGGGGGGAGGGGGGGGCGGGCACGGCCGGGGGGGCGGGGGGGCCTTCTTTTTTGGGGGTGGGCCGCGGAGTCCACACAGCGAGCGTAAAAAGTCGGGCATGTCCCTCTACAGGAGGGAGATTCAGAAATAGCGTTTTTTGGGGAAGTGTCCAAAAGCCGCCTGCTGGGGGACATGCCCGACCAACAGCGAGCACCATCCATCCCGTAGGTTCGCGTCGTGTCGACGCGGCGGCGACCCCGGCGCGGGCGCTCAAGATTAAACGCTGCCACTGGCCCGAAGTCAGCGGTCATGGAGCGATCCGCGCTATCAGCAAGCCGCGATCAGTGGAGCTTGAGCGATCCGCGCGCTGTCGGAAGCCAGCGCACGAGTCGTCGCGGCACGAATCCACCGCATCCATGGCCTGGCCGTCCGGATGCCGGGGCGCGATCCCACACACACGATCCCATGCGCACGATCCGCGCAAGGCAGCCGCGCAAGGCCACCCGGCATCCGTGGGGCGTGCCGCCAGGCGGGCCCGGGCCGCGAGGCCGTGGACGAGGCGGATTCGCCCGTGGCCCACGAGGATCTCCCCAGTAAGGCGTTCGGGGGGTGGGCTCCCCAGCCAGAGCGCGCGCGCGCGTCAGGGATTCGCTCGTGACGGAAGGGGCGGGGGAGGCCCGACGATCATTAATTATGGGGGGCACTGCCTCCCCGAGGCGCCCGCCCCCTGCCCTCCTCTTCGGGGGACCTCAGCTGACTGTGTCACCGATCCTGGCCGGGCCCATCCGGGGTCCAGGATCAGCTCACACGCCCTCCTCTTGGACGCCCGACATGGGTACGGAAAAAATGGGCACAATGCCCGACAGCACATGTTGTCCAAAACCGACAGCGGCCACTGTTGGGCAGGCGGCTTTCTGTCTTCAGGGAATCACGTCTCCGCGGCGGCGCAAACAACGAGCTTTGTTCAAAATGAACAAGAACTGCTGTTGGGCATCGTGCCCATTCTGTCCGCGCCCACTTCGATCGTCCCGACTCCTGGCTTGGCCAGGCAAGCGCAGGCGCCGAACCTTGGTCCCAGGATCGTCTCCTGGCCAGGGGTCTGCGGGGTGGTCCGTCGGCGCTTCCCGCTGCCCCGACCCCTGGTGAGGCCCGCCCCGCATTCGCTCGAGCAGTGGCGAAGCGTCATGGCTCGCCTTTATGCCCGTCAAAGAATGTTATAAGAGCCTTTTGTGACCTGCACGAAGTTGTCTTAGACCATTTCTGGCTGAGACCGTTTTGTCTTGACGCATCGCGCTTACGGTCTAAGAACCTTGCCCCTAGCCGGGACGGGTCGGCCCCTGCTCAGCTCAGAGGCGACGATAGGGGCGAATAGCCCAGGGGAGAGCAACACATGGATTCGGGTGCGCCGATGCTCTAGCCTCTCGCTCTTCGAAGAGGCTTCTGGGCGAATGCGTGTAATGCCCGCCCCTGGGCTAGTCGCCCCTGTCGTCGCCGCCGATCAGTTCACCCCGCCCACCCACCCCCCTTGCGCGCCGCCAGGGTCGGCCCGACCCCGCACGCCGAGCGGCCGAGAGCAGCAGACAAGCGATCCCGCGCGCACGCGCGCGCCCTCCGCGGCGCCCCGCCGCCCGCGAGGCCGCTCGGGGGCGGCGGCGCTGCTCGAGCTTCTGCTATGCTCCAGGGGGAGGGGGAGGGGGAGGGGGAAAGGGAGGGGGAGGAGGCGGAGGAGGGAGAGGGGGAGGGGGAGGGGGAGGGGGAGGAGGAGGAGGAGGAGGAGGAAGGTGGCCATCTTTTCAAAATGGGGGGGGGCTCCCCCCTTCCGCGCCACCTTTGAAAGAAACCCTAGCAGATGCCACACGACAGATTGAGCAGCGATGGGGTTTGGGCGGCCCGATGCGGCGTAGCGTTGCTGCAGCCGCCACCTGGCCTGGTGCCTCACGTGCATGTGGCGACCGCGGCGCACCCCGGTGCCGCAGGCGGATGCCGCCGCACCCTCAGGAGGAGGCGCCTCAGGAAGTTCGCGTGGGAGAAGCTCCGGAACCGGGGGCCCGATGAAGTACCTGTTGAAGCCGCTGCTGCTCTGCCGGCTGATGGCGATGTGGAGGTTTGCGTTGGTGCCCCGGTCACTCCTAGCCCTGCAGAGAAAGAGGCAGTTCACACACCGCCAAAGACAACGAGGGGGGACGGCTTCAGCGAGAAGGAGGACGAGCCAGCCTTTGCAGAGCATACATTCATCTCTCCCGAGGATGTCACCAACAAGCTGCAAGGGATCATGGCCGACTGGGTGTTCGACCGAGTTCAAGAGCGACTAGAGACCGCATCGATGGTCGAGTTGGTGGACCTTGAAGACGCGATCTGCCAACTGCTGGACGAGGTGCTGGAGGGGTGGGAGGGAGTGGACATCCTAAGGCGGAGTGGCACAGAGATCCATGCGGGCGCGAAGATGCCCAAGCAGAAGTTGGGCAAGGTCTAGCAGTAGCTGCGCCGCGGCCCGCGCGGGCCGCCAGCGGGCGAGGGGCTGGCGTTCTGGGAAGGGATCGGCTTTGTGTCCTCCCCCGCTCGGGGGGGATTGGCTTGGTGGAGTGGGGTGCCTCGCTCTCCCTGGCCCATCCTCCCCTGGCCGCCTTCTGGCGGCGTTCCGCCCTCGTGTGGTCTTCGGCCCTTGCTGGGCCAACCACGAGGCTGAACCCTTTTCGGAAAGCCAAGCTCTAGTAGAGTAGAGTTGCCCAGCGTCGTCGTGTGTTCGGATCGGATTTGGCGCGAATGGGATCGTAGTAGTAGTAGGAGGAGGAGGAGGAGGAGGAGGAGGAGGAGGAGGAGGAGGAGGAGAATTAGGAGGAGTGTCTCGCGACCCGTGCCTCCTACATTCCTGTGGCAATGTGCCCCTCGGAAGGGTCTCGTGTCCTCTTGCGTGTCCTGTTCAATTGAGTCCGACTATACGGGCTGACTGCAACGCTAACGATGCACCAAAAAACCGAAAACCGAGCGCGCGGTCGCGAGGCGCGGCGCCGTCGGCGCCCCGGGCAACCGGCAGCGGGGCGGCGCGGGACCGAACGAGCCCGAGGAGCGCGGCGATGGGATGGCGGCCGCCCGCGGGGCCCTCTGCGCCTGGCTGGCGGCGCTGACGGTCGCCAGCGGCCCGGGGGTGAGCCAGCGAGGAGGGTCCAGGAGCGGCGAGGGGGGGGAGGGGGCGGGGGAGGGGGGGGGGGGGGGAGGGGGCGGGGGAGGGGGCGGGGGCGGGGGAGGGGGAGGGGGAGGAGGGGGAGGGGGAGGGGGAGGAGGGCGAAGGAGGAGGGGGGAAGGGGAGAGGGAGGAGGAGGAGGAGGAGGAGGAGGAGGAGGAGGAGGAGGAGGAGGAGGAGGAGGAGGGCGGAGAGGACGAGGCGGACGGGGAGGACGAGGACGAGGATCATGATGGAGTGGCACGCGCGCGCGCCCAGGCTGGTGCAAGTCAAGCATTGGGATGCAAGCCAAACCATTGTGAATATGTTCTGGAGATTGAGTGTTCGACATGAGGCGCGCAACGTCATTTCATCACCAATGCGTTTGCGAATGCGTCAAGTGTTTAGCAGTTGTACTGTTCAGTCATATACACTAGTTAACTATGTTGCGAATCGAGCACGTTAAGCAATTGCGTTGAGCCAACATGCCTGCACACATCGGAGAACATATTGGCTTCGACTAGGAATGTGGCCCGTCGGCGAAAGCAATAATTGGTTAGTGCACCTGGCAGAAAGGTTTGATGGAACGCACACGCCCACGCACAGCTGGGATCAATTAGTTTCTGAGGGAAATCATGGGCACGCATGGTGGATGTGTTTTTGTGTGTGTGTGCGTGTATGTGCCTTGCAGGATGCTTCCTCGGGCGCGTCTTAGAAGTTTATCAGGGCATGTTGAGAAGATGTTGTAGTCTTGGGGGGCTCGTTTGGCCGTTTTCGCCAGGTCTTGGGGAGCTTAACACCTGCGCCAGTCCAGCGCGCGATCTGCACTCGCGTGGGTCTTACATTCGACCTTGCTTCCTCGGTCTTGTGGCCGTTTGGGAGCTTGATTTGGCCGTCTTGAAGGATTTTCGGGCTCGTTTGGGGCAGTCTTCGTCAATCTCGTTTGGGGCAGTCTTCGTCAATTTGGGGGGGCGCATAAAGGTTTCATTCAGCTTTCCCTGGGCAGTGTGAAGCCGAAAGGCCGCGGGAGTTCGGCAGGAAGAACGCATGTATTGACCGTTGGTTCTTCAATGTGTGACTTTAAGTGGGGTTGAAGGGGTAGTATATACGGAATGGTATATCCGCCGCTGCCTTGGCTCCTCCAGGAGGACACTATTGGATTTGCGTATGAGACACAGGCCACGTTTATCAATGATCCACCTCTCCATCTCACGGCATGTCCTCTTACCCCTCGTCCTGTTTGCCATGAAGGGATGGGCTGTGGGATATTTCGATACGTCGCCGACATCCTAAGAGCAGGGTTCTCAGCTTATTACCGCATTGTGAAGCCTCCCCCGACCCTTAATTTTCATTTGGTAGCGGAGCTGGCCTCATTTTCGTGTGGTTGGCTCTTACATCGGGTGTTATGTACATACAAAGCCTATCGCGGCACACTGGAGTACTCGACTGCACCGGCCCTCAGCCACTACACTCTTAATGCTCTTCAACCAACTGGAAGTCTACATTCCTGCACCTACATCTCAAATTCCCCACCGCCTGGAAACATGCCACGCACAGACCAAACACCTACACCCATTCGCAAACTGACGACCACGCACGGTGTCAAGGTCGCGATATGTGGAATCAGATGGGTGCGCCTAGGTCCCGCCGTGGGATACATGCGAGGAGGAATGGTTGAAACACGCACTCGGGACCTTTTTTTTTGGGGGGGGCCCGCAGGCAACGCACCCTTCCGCGACTTTTGCTCGTGAAGTTCATGCATGATTTAACGTCACGAGCGGAAACATGGCTCCACCCCAGCAGGTTGCTGCATTACTGCACGGGCTGGGGGGTTTAGCTAGGACGCTGGCTATGAGGGTGTTGTGTGCCATTATAAATTACGGTGTCACCTTACAGGGTAGACGCACCGACGGAGTCACATACGCTATGTACCTACTAAGCTCCATATTTGAAACAATTACTCCGACGGAAGGACCCCACATGATAATCTCTTTAGCTTGCATGCGGGTATCCTCCTGCCCCTTCCCTTTTCCCACATACTCTTGCCTCCTCGTTCTCCTCCTGTCTGCTCCTCCTCCTGCCTCAACCCCTGCCTCTTCCTCCTCTTCTTGCCTCCTCCACCTCCTCCCCCTCCCCCTCGTTATGCTTCCTCCCCCCCATTCCCCCTGCCCCTCCTGCCTCCTGCCTCCTCCTCCTGCTCCCTCTCCTCCTCCTCCTCCTCTCCTCCTCCTCCTCCTCCTCCTCCTCCTCCTCCTCCTCATCCCCTGTCCTCCTCCTCTCCCTCTCCCTCATCCGCTCCTCCTCCTCCTCCTCCTCCTCCTCCTCCTCCTCCTCCTCGTTTCCATATTCCTCCCCCCTCCTCCCCCCCCCTCCTCCCTCCTCCTCCTCCTCCTCCTCCTGCCTCCTCCTTAGGCCTCCTGCCCCCTCCTGGGGCCTCCTGGGGCCTCTTGGGGCCTCCTGGAGCCTTCTGGGCCTTCCGGGACCTACTGGGGCCTCCTCGGGCATTCCTCCTCCTCCTTTTCCTCCTCGTCCTTCCTCCCCTCAGCCTCTTCCTCTTCCTGCTTTCCTGTCTCGTCCTGCATCATCCCTCCTCCTTTTCCTGGCAATCCTCCTCCTCCTCGTCCTCGTGCGGAACACGACCCAGAGGAAGCGCACGACGTGCGTCCCAGCCGATACGCGCCGGAGGACGACCCAGAGGAAGCGCGCGCCGGAGGATGACCCGGAGGAACCACGTGAGCTGCGGGACCCATAGGAAGGCTCCCGCCTGACGCGTCCTCACAATTCACTCACAGACGAGGGTCCCGCTTGATACTTCTTCCAAATTCAGACCTGAGGAGCCCAAAAGTGACGGCAGTTACAGGAATCCGATGACCCGCTCGGATTAATAACATGATCTGCGGGCCCCATAGGGAGGAGCTCCCGCCTGAGACTTGCTCGCAATTCACTGACAAACGAGGCTCCCGCCTGATACTTCCTCCAAATTCAGACCTGAGGAGCCCAAAAGTGACGACAGTTACAGGAATCCGATGACCAGCTCGGATTAGCAACATGATCTCAGGCCCTATAGGAGGGGGGTTCCCGCCTGAGACTTCCTCACAATTCACTCACAGACGAGGCTCCCGCTTGATACTTCCTCCAAATTCAGACCTGAGGAGCCCAAAAGTGACGACAGTTACAAGAATCCGATGGCCCGGTCGGATTAGTAACATGATCTGCGGGCCCCATAGGGAGGGGGCTCCCGCCTGACGCGTCCTCACAATTTACTCACAGACGAGGCTTCCTCTTGGTGGATGATGGTGATGGGATGATGACGACGGTGTTTGATGATGATATATGATGATGATGATGATGATGATGATGATGATGATGGTGGTGGTGGTGGTGGTGACGATGACGACGTGATGATGATGGTGGTGATGATGAGTGCTGATGGTGAGTGATCGTGCGATTCTGATGGTAAATGGTGGTGATGATGATGGGGACGAAGTCGTGAGTCAGCGAGTAGTGATGATGATGATGAGGATGATGATGATGATGATGATGATGATGATGATGATGATGATGATGATCGTTCGATGCCGATGATGGTGAGTGATCGTGCGATGGTGATGGTGATGATGATGGTGATGATGATGATGAGTGGGGAGTGATGGTGATGGTGATGATGATGCGGAGGAGGAAGCAAAGAGGAGCAGAGGAGAGGGAGGAGGACTAGAGATCCTGCGCGGAGGGTGTGCAGAGAAAACAAGAACCCCGCTTAGGATGTGGGGAAAAAAATTGGGATGAGCGACCGCTCATGTCGGGGACTGCCCTCATAGATTTCAGGGTCGATGGGGGCTAACGCATTGACTCAGTACGGGCCCGATTCGAGATGGCCAAACTGGAAGCGGACCCAGCGGGCTTCAACATACCCATCTTCCAGATCCTGACGCTTGTTCTATGTCGTGCAATGGGGATTGGTACCTCCCGAACAGCACAGCTATTGCAACCGCTCAACCACCAGATGCCCCGTACCCAGCATCAGTACAATCAACTCTTGGAGCGCATGCGCAGCCATGGACATTTGGCCGGGCAATCCCCGGGAAATATCGGGAGCATTTCCAGCGGGCGCAGCGCCGGCACCTACCGCGCCGAAAGAAGCGACGCACTGGCAGCCATGCCGCACCACTGGAAGCGACCACCCTGCATGGTTCCCCCGGCGAAGAAGGCTAAGAAATTTCGGATTCTGCCACGGATACCGACGCGGTCTCCTCAACTGGCGCCGGCAATCTTTATTGGCCAGACCTGCCCGCCGGCGGCGACGCAGTATCACAGCACTTTTACATACGAAACCATCATGCCAAGAGAAAGCGGAGGCGACAGATTGAAGAAACCAGCTTGGAGTTTTAGGCGCGCAGTACGTCGTGTCTTCTTTCGCAAGGGCAAGGGCCGCGGAATGGGCGGTAGACGCATCCGCAGATTGCAAAGCAAAGGCATAACCACGCTTCTAGCCAGGTTAACAGATTACGACATTGAAGACATGCTCCTTGGAGGCAAGGGCAGAGGCAAAGGTCGCGGGCAGACCGTTGGCACAGGAATGGGGCGAAGGCAAAACCCGATGGACAAACACAACGGCAAATGCATGGCATGCAATGCACGCGGGAGCGACAAGCGCATTCAGGCACAGTGCCCCAAGGGGAGTAGGAAGGGCAATGGATCCGCACCCCTCGGCTCGGAGCAACCCGGAGAGGGCGCAATTGAATGCGTCGGCTTTCCCGAACTCGACCACCCTCTTCAGGCCCAAGCAAGTTCCGCTTGGTTCTCGATGGCTCGCGTCACCGAGGCACCCGTGCCGATCGAGCGCTGCGCCGACCACTTGCGCGGCGGGATCGAGGAGCTCGACGACGCTTGCCCTCGCGCGGACACGCGCGGTGCGATTCGGACGGCGACGACGATGCCGACGGCATTTCCGCGGCGGAGACCACGCT